CCACCCGCCACCCGGGCGCCCTGGTAGGTCCCCCGGCTCCGAGGACGACCCCCACTCGGCCGAGGGCTGGGGGGTCCAGTCCGAGCAGTGGCTGTTGTGGGTTCCGCGAACCGGGGGCAAGCCGCTTCCCAGGGCTCTCGGCGCCGGAGCCCGGCGGGAGTCCCCCAGTCGCACTGGCGACCGGGCAGCCGGGGGATGTCCTCGATTCCCCGGACAGGAGCGGCTAAACATGCTCCTCCGCCGCCGGTCCGGCATGTGCAGTCTCCCCTCGCCCCACCCCCACCCGGCCGGCGCTCGGCTCGGCCCAATCTCCAGGGAGAGGCGCGCGCGCGCGGCGGAACGGCCAATGGTGCTTGGACTGCCAACGCAATCGCCGACCATGGAGATGACCGTGCGACCGGCATCCAGGTCTCGGGAATGTACTGTGCCGGCCCTGTGCGGACGCTGCCCGCCCCCAGTAGGGGTGCGTGTGCATGCGGCACATCCTCGCAGGTGGGTTCTGCAGAGGAGCCCACTGTGCCACACAGGCGCGCCGGGGCCAGCGGCCAAAGGAGGCCGAAGCCAGATGGCGGGGGATGGCACGGATACAGGCACGCGAAGATAATGCAGGAAAAACCACCGAGCTCATGTCTCTCTATTTTTCGCCGTCAGTGTAGGCCAAAGAAGCGCGTGTTCAGCCAGCGCACGGCCAGGAAAATGAGCGGCTGCCATACCAGGATATGCCGTGCCACGGCCAGGACATTGGAGTGGAACCAGCCGACTCGGTCCCATCTTCGGGGCGGGCGAGCCAGCGGGCAGGCAGGCAGGCAGGCAGGCAGGCAGGCAAGCGGGAAGGTACAGAGGCGGGCACACGAAACGCAAGGCAAGTCAGGGACAGGGATGGTCGTGTGGCCGTGGAGCAGGACGGAGCGACACGGAGGGCAGAGTGCGTCGACGTACGGATTGCCTCGGAAGAAAGCCAAGTCAACCTTTTCGCTGCACACGGGGCAGGTGTCGATCTTGCCGACAATGGCCCACCCACGAATGCATGCATGGTGGAAGAAGTGCCCGCAGACTGGCAGGGCCACGGCGGACTCCAGCAGCTGGGCCATGGAGGCCGGCGCCGCCGGGGCCCCGGGCCGCCGGGGCCCCGGGCCGCCGGACCGCACCAGGTGCTTGGGCGTCGGCAAGCTGGCCGCACAGAGCCCGCACTTGAGCAGGCCGTCATCCAGCCGCGAGGGGGCGCTGTCGGGGAGGGGGGGGGGGAGTGAGTGATCAGGAGCCCGGGCGAGCGAAGTATGGAGCAAGGAACAGAGAGGGAGAGCGAGAGAGAGAGAGAGAGATGAGGATGGGGGAAAAGGGGCGATCAAACGCGCAAGAGAGTCGGGCCATGTACCCGCCAAAGGGAAGCTGCACGCCCAGCTCGTCGGCCAGCCGCGACTGCGACCCGAGATCCCCGCTGCTGGGGGACAGCAACTCGGCCGGGTCCTGCGCCCTGGGAGCCGGGGAGTCGGCGTGGGCCACATGCGTCGGGAGGAGCCCCCCGGGGGCCGGCGGGCCGGACACCAACAACGAGGAGGTCAAGCGGGTGGCGGTCCGGAGGAAGCCACTCCCCGGGCCGGCCCCGGCCCCGGCCCCGGGGCTGCCAGCCACCTTGACCCCGGGCCCGGCGAAGAGGCGCATCTTCAGCAGCATGCGCTCGGCGCAGAGGACCGCGCAATCGCGCGCCAGCAGGCCGAAGTATAGTCCGTAGAAGCAGAGCTGCGCCGCCAGGCGCAGGGACGCCGCCCAGAGCCCGGACGACCGGCCGGCCCCGACCGACCCGGCCCCCAGAAAGCACCCCACCAGCAGCGCATACCCGGCGGAGGACAGGGCGCTCGACAGCTGGAAAAGCAGGAGATGCCACTGGTAGACCGCGCGCGGGGCCACCGGCAGCAGGCGCCGCCGGCCGAGCGCATGCCACAACATGGCCACATTGATCGCCGTGAAGGGGACCCACGCCACCAGGAACGGGATGTACCCCCGGGCCAGGGCCACCCCGGCCGGAATGAACCACACCCCGGCGGCACTGGCCAGGCGGAAGGTCCGCGGCGAGCGCCGGTGCCACAGGACCAGCCCGGCTTGGGCTCCGGCCAGCGTCAGGGCATAGAGCCCGAACAGGAGCAAGTGCATCCGGCCATGCTTCGGGCCATGGCCCAGACCCAATGTCCTGAGAGGTGAGCATCCGGCCGGGCAAGGTGTGCAGGCGGGCAAGGAGAGCGCACATCGGTATGGTCGATCTTGGTGGCGTCGGCCGAGGCACCTGGCGGCGGGTGGGCCGCCGTGCCGGGGACACCCCCAGCCAGCACGGCCGCCGTGGCCAACAGCCAGCCTACCCGCGGCCGGGACATGTGGGCGAGGAGGGGCGAGGGGGGGAACTTGCAAAGAATGGGCCACCAGGGGGGGTACGCAACACAGCGCGGGGAGCTGCAGGCGGGAAGGGATATCGAGTGGGGGAGGGAGCCCGGAGAGTGTGCACATATGTCCCCCTCCCTGCATGTTGGTCCTTCCCTTGGACCCCGCCAGAAAAAATGACTCAAATTAACACACACACACACACACGCACATCCATTTACGAACATACACCACACGCGAGCTGAGATCGCCCTTGGGCCGCGCCCTGCCACATCCGCAAGTCGATCGCCGGCCTATTCCCGTACGCGGACCACCCACCCACACCCACACACCCACCCACCCACACACACACACACACACACACACACACACACACACACAC